AATATTTAAAACGTGTGAACATAGGGTCAAATCGATTGCGCGGACGCATCGGACGAGTCTTATTGTGACCCCGAGAATGACCCGAACGCTCCGGTCAGGTGTAATGCCAACAATTGCACTCTTCCCGACTGTTTCTGCAGTAACGACGGCACTCAGATTCCCGGACAACTCAAACCCGAAGAGACGCCCCAAATGATTATCTTGACGTTTGACGACGCCGTCAATAACGAGAATTGGGAAATATATCAAAAAATATTTGCCAGTAACAGAACCAATGCCAACGGGTGTCCGATGTCTACCACTTTCTTCCTCAGCCATGAATACACTAACTATAGACACGTCCAGAAGCTGTGGAATGACGGCCACGAGATTGCTATTCATTCCATAACGTACTCATAAAGCACTAAATCATTTGTGTATAACATTCATTAAATTGAATACTTTATACAATGTTTAGACATAAACAGCCGGAGCTTTGGTGGACATTCAACGCAACGATGGAGGACTGGTTTGATGAGTTCGCCGGAATGGCTAACATTGTTAACAGATTCGCTGGAATACCACTCGACGAACTCCGGGGCACAAGAGTTCCCTTCTTAAGAGTCGGATGGAATACACAGTTTATTATGGTTTGTATTTTATGAATACATTTCCTCCACATATTTAATTGAATTTTATGTAAAGATGAAAGAGTTTGGATTCCTATACGACTCATCAATGGTCGCCCCGCGATCTGATCCACCCCTTTGGCCGTTCACTCTTGATTACAGAATCCCTCATAGATGTCATGGATCTCGTCAGAGATGTCCGTCGCGATCGTTTCCCGGGACGTGGGAAATGATTATGAATCCATTCGACATCGAAGTCTCTATTATTTTATTAACATTTAAGTTTTTGTAGTAAATTGTATGTGTTTTTGGTTACTTTAGGGTCACATCTGCGCTATGGTTGACAGTTGTCCCACACATCTATCTGAAGATGAGATCTACGCTATGTTTATGGATAATTTCAATCGTCATTATAACACTAATAGAGCGCCTTTTGGTCTTTATTTCCATACGATTTGGTTTAAAGAAAAAGAAAACTTCAAAATTCTTCTCAGATTTATTGATGATTTAATGCAAAACAAAGTATTAATATTTTAAAATATGTTTTTAGTAATCATTTATATAATTATTGTGAATGTATTGATAGGACGTATTCTTCGTATCCAATTATCAAGCGATTGAATGGATGAGAACTCCGACCCCAATATCACAACTCAAAGACTTCGAGCCCTGGAAGTGCAAGAAAGACATTGAGCC